GGGGGGGGGGAGAAGATACAGATATAATGCATTCTGAAAGAAATTCTGAAATTACAGAAAGCTAGAAACCAGGAGGAACCATCTTACACTTGTAATTTTCTTTGGTATCCTCCTCACTGCTGGAGGATACCAGATCAGATGGACTTTTGCTCTAACTGTGCCTATACTCTAAGCTTTACAGCAATTTTTCATTACAATTTGTAGGAGCTGACATTTTACTCCTTGTTCCTTCTTTTTTAATGTTTTTATGAAGCCTATACAGTTTGTCAATCCCTTTCCTGTCCTTTTTAAGAGAAGTTACGAGCAGATGTGTTAGCTCCAAGTCATCTCACTTAATACAAAACTAATGAATTTTGAAAGCATAAAAAGTGATTTGAAAATAAATCTCCATTCAGATTACATTAAGAAAAAAAAATATCTTTAGCAGCTACCACATCCAGTCACATATTATTAGGACAAATGAGTTCCTTCTCTGCTTAATTCACGCGCCATTTAATATGTTTTTAACAACATGCCTTTGCTGTCACTTATGCTTGGGAAGACTTCTCACTAACCATCCTCCAAATTAACTCATCACATTCCTTCAACTTTTACCCTGAGCTTTATAGTCATTTGAATCCAAATTCTTAATTTCTATTGAAACACACTTAATTTTGCTTCAGTTCCACCTTCCAGGAGACTGCTTTAGAAATAAGTGTAGTTAGACATGCATACTAAACTCCAGAGTGAGCAAAATCTCATACCTACCACATGGATTTTTCTCCTATCATTTACCGACATTACAATAAACCAGGTTTCTTTGTAAACTGCTTATTGACCTGCTTTTCTTTCAAAGGAATGTGAAGGCCAACATAACTAAAACTATTCCCCCAGAAAGTAAACAGAACAATGACATGTGTGTATCAGTAACAATAATACAGCAAACATTCTTTTCAGTTCACTTTATTTTCTCCAATTCTGAATACAAAAGCATGAGTATCTGTAAAGCTGTTAGTCCAAACAGAAGAACACAACTGTAGAGAAATTAAATGACTGTGGAAAGCAAGAATGTAATAAGCATAAAAAAGATGGTTTATTCCACACCCCCAAGATTAACATACTGGAACCTACAGCACATTTTCTCAAATATATATAGCCAAACACAACCCCACAAAAACCTTTACAAGTATTTTAAAAAAAATAATACAGTAAATTCTAGATGGGGGGAGAATAAACCTCACCCACAGTAGAAAACTCTCTAGTGCTACCAATCTACCTGTCACCTTTCATGCTTGAGCAACTTTTTCCCACAATCCCTGCAGAAAGTGAAACAATAGTACCATTTTGAGGAAAAATTTAGAAAATCCTTCCCCTTAAGTAATAATTTAAGAAAAATTTTCAAGGTGTATAACTGGGAAAAAACCCCACAAACTTGCTGCTTCAATTCACCTGGGTAATATCCTTGAACTGCATGAGCATAACAGTCTACTCCAAAGACCTCCTTTGTTTAGCTCGGTATCAACTGTTATAATGCATAGCCAAAGCAGGGAACCATAGGAAAAAAGTTTGATAAGGAAGGTATTAGCTGATCAGAACGAGACAAACAGCTAATTATGGACTGAAGGAAGGGAACATTATATTTAAAAATTATTGTTCATCTTTTAAA